TGTGCGTGAGTGCCCAGGATCCCGAGAGGAGAATGGAGGAGAAGGGACTGTGGCGTGGTCATCTCCCCTGGGGGGTGATTTCTCGCTTTCTGTCTGTCTCTCTCTGTCTGTCTGGTGAGCGCATGCACCCTATAGCAAAAACCTCTCCAAAGAAAAAGACTAATTTTGTCTGTAGGAAGAAAGCACAGTGACTGTTGGGTTTATGGGCAAATGCTGGAGAGTCAGAAAACTATTCTATTAATGCCACTGCCTCACCATGCTCCCAATGAGGGATATACCTAAAACCAAAGGAAGAATGGTGAGTCATCCGTGATATTTTAAACATCACTTACTGCCTTCCTGCACTTGCCAAAAGTCATGCTCTGACCTTTGCAATTGGTAGCCTAATTGCCACCAGATATAGGTCTATTACGCTTCCAGGAGATGCACATTCGAGACCTGAGCTGTGGGTGGGTCCCAGAGACCACTTACATAACGTCACTGGGTTAAAGCCAGTAGGGTTCCTTGCCAGCTGGTGATATGCACCCTGAGAGCATGCGATAGAGGCACTGTGACTGTCTAGGAGATTTCCCAGGGGGCCTTGTTTAGGAGCTATGCAGATTTACGAGTGCGCAGACAGAACTGACCCTTGCTCAGCCGCCACCAGGTGGCCCTCTCTTCCAGCTCTGGGGCCTGTAGAGTTTGTGTGCACTCTGTTCTGCCTCTTCACCACTGTCTTCGGATCCTGCTCTTTGGCTTGGCTTGCTCCTGGCCTTCCAAATAGCTTTCCTTAGAAGTTCCCAGAATATCTTTCTTCATCAGAGGTCAGAGTGGGCAATAACTGAAATCAGATGTCCCCATCTTGAAACAGATGAGAACGAATTGGTTTCCACCGAGGAAAGTGTCCAGTGGGCATCCTGGGGGCTCACTCTTGGTGGTAACGGACTGCCGGTTGTGTATGACTTAAAGCTAATTCACAGGCTGGGAAAAACTTTAGACTCTGCAGCTAAGCAGTCCTCTCAGGGATCCCAACAAGTACGATTCACCTCTGACAACTGGAAGGGAACACTGGTGTCCAACAAAAACACGTAATGAAACTCCAGACAGAACCGGATGTCTCGCTCAAGCTGGGGATCAAAGCCAAATGCTGCCCTTATCTTTCTCCCAGGTTTAAGTTATGGAGAGTTTAACTTAAAAGGTGGCCGATACCGCCATTTTTCTAGATGCGGGCACCGCGTACATTAAGGAAATCACTCGGGGAAGTGGAACACAGTGTGGTCGTGGGAATGACTACTAGCAGTTCTCGGGCGTCCTGAATGGTGAATGGCAAGCGTGGCTGGTCTGCGGTTTCCTACCTTGACATTCCCTTTAGTGGGTCTCTGTGGCACAGCGACTTGTGTTACAGACTCACCACCAGGACTGGTACCTCTCTCGAACAGGCTTCTGTGCAGTGTACCATTGTCCCCGACTGCCACCACAGTCCAAACAAGGACTAGGACCAAAGGGACTCAGCCACTGTTGCCTATCCTTAATGCTAGGCAGGTTGTTTGAATTTGATTGGTTTAGCTCATAGAGACCTACTGAAAAGTATACGTTGGTGTGTTGGCACTGTGTATCACGTTACATTCATTCCACATTTTTATTTATTTATTTGTTTAAGGTTTTTGTCATAGGATGTGAATGCTTGCCAGAGAGAGAGAGGGAGAGAGAAAGAGAGAGAGAAGGAAAGGGAGAAATCACCCCATAGGGGGGCTGGCTACACCACAATCCCTTCTCCATTCTCTTTCTGGGATCTTGGGCACACAAGCAACATGTTACCTGGCATGATTTTCAAGTCGCTGGGTCAGGGACTCATATTGTGGTCAATCATGTGGTTGTCCAACACCTTAGCAACTCCACCTGCTGGCCCACTTGAAAGTTTTAAATATCTGTATACAGCCATCCCTTGTACATAAAATGGTCTCATGACTAACAAAAGCATATACTATGGCGGTCATCTAACTTTTTTTTTTTTTCTTAGCGGTTTTCTCTATAGGGCGCGTGCGCTCACCAGACAGACAGAGAGAGACAGACAAAAAGCGAGAAATCACCCCCAGGGGGGATGGTCACGCCGCAATCCCTTCTCCTCCATTCTCCTCTCGGGATCTTGGGCACGCACGCACATGCGCCCGGTGTGAGTTTTAAGCCACCGGGTCCAGGACGTGAATCGTGGTCGACTACGTGGGAGTCCAGCGACCTAGCCATTACGCTAACTGCTGGTTTCCGCGGTCATCTAACTTGATGCTGTGAAATTGTACAGTCTCTACCTGAGATCAAGCACATTCCTTGTGATGGTTGTAGAAGATGGTTTCCTTGCTCATGTCTGTGGTTTTGCTCAATCTCTCAATATTGAGATGACCAACTGAACTACATTGGCCTAAGCAGGCCTCCAGACATAGGTGAGCGATAAAACCTGGCCCCAAGTAGTCTCTGTAGGCACTGAACTACAACCTAGATTGAGAAGCAAGATGTAACTTAACTGAAGAGTATACGCAATAACCAAGTGACGGGACCTCAGCCAATCACAGCAGCCAAGCTTCAGGCAATCACAGGCTCCCCAGTGACTGGAACATGGCCCTATAAAGCAAATGCCAATTGTAGCCCCTCAGCTTGGTTTTCCATGTCACCTCTTTTGTTTTCTATGCTGCTTCCTTTCCATTGGCTATAAATCTAGGCTGTACATGGAGAGATCATTTGGAAACTATATAGGTCAAGACTGCTGCTCCATTCCATCATCTCTTACCAAAATAACCTCTTTATTGAACCAGTCTCAGAATTTTTCTTAACAAAGCTTTTCCATTAAATAAACTAGTTGTTTTTGAACATGAAAGTCTGGCATTTTCTTGTTGGATATTTTCTTTAAGTTTTTTTTTTTTTTTTTTTGGTCAAGAGGGCACATGCAGTAGCAGGAGAGACCAAAACTATGAGAGTGAGAAATCACCAACCATGGAGGATGGCCATGCTGCAGTCCCTTCTTTTCAATTCTCCTCCTGGGATTCTGGGCACACAGGCACATGCACTCGGTGTGATTTTCAGGCCACCAGGTCTGGGACTCAGTCCACGGTAGGCCATGTGGGAATCCAGAGCCTTAACCATCATGCCACCTGCTAGCCCTGTTGCTGGATATTTTCAAGAGCATATTTAATAAGTATACTTGTTGCATTTAGGCGTGGGGAGAAGCCAGGAAGAACCCCTGTTCCCTTTTTATAACAAATTACAAAGAGATGTTCAGCTCCTCCCCTCTCTCCTCACGAGGAAAGCTATGCACTCACTAGGCCCTGTACTTACAACGGCCAAGTCTAAATGTAGCCGAACAACCACTGCTTTTCCCTGAAGCCACTTCTGACTCATTGGACAGACCTAGAAGGAGAGCCTGGGTCTTGATGCTATTTCATATTATGCTTGGCTTTCCTCTTAAGCCACTTACATAAGTGACTCAGCAAGAGCAGAATGGGATAAACTAAGAAAGCCACCAGCAGCTAATGGCTAAAACCTGGGACGTTTCCTTTTCACATTCCCCCAGGACAGAAGGATGATCGATTTTAATTCTCATTAGAATGAATCACGTAATAGGCAAGGGGAATAATTCTCCAGCTCGTCCAGGTATTCTTTTATCTCGAACCCATCATAATAAAACTATAAAACTGCTGGTGTTGTCCCCCCCGCCTATAAATAAGCACTTCTTGAAATTAAAAAATCAATTCTCTTTGAACTTTGTTTTTAACACAATAGTAACAGAATAGTGCTCGCTTTTCATATAGTTACACAGCTGGAACCGCATGAAGATCCTACTGTGTTGTCTCATTTGGTAATGAAAATCTACTGGGCTGGTGGAAAAGTCGTGACACGTTTTTGTACAGAAAAATACATTATGAATTTTCTGACAACTCAGTATTTGGGATTCAGGGAAAAGGGAAAGTGGTAACTAGAAGTCAACATCTGGAATTTTTTTAAATAAACTCAGGAATGCATGATGATTTTCATTCCATTATTACCTGAAAAATGACAGTACCACTGGGTCTCACCCAATTTATTTAGCACCAAATAAAGTGTGAGAACGTCTGTTCACAAAATTCTCAGTAGAACGAGTGATATGGTCTTGGGAACCTTGATAACAATCATTAGGTGCTTTCCTGAAGACTTAGTGCTCCTGAAAGATGTCCCAATCTGTATTAATACTGCGTTATCTAATTTCTCTCCAAGAGAACACACACACGTGTGCACGTGCACACTCACACTGGAAATCTATCAGTGGTAAGTCAGGCTAGGCGAGAAGTAATCACTCATGTGCTAATTTTCTATTACTCAAGAAAAAAGTCAGGTTAAGAGGCTCTCACAGGACAGTGATTAAGCCCCATGCATAGGGAGCTGGCTCCCACATAGCTGACCATGGTTTAAATCCTGGCCCCAGCGGGTTAAAAAATGCTGCATGTGGGGGGACCTGGAGAGGATAGAGAAATGAAGGGACAGGACTGCAGCACAGTCAGGCCCCAGTGGGAGACGCATTCACTCATGCTCACTCTCTCTTTCTTTTTCTCTCTCTAGTGAGTGCATTCACTCCCTAGCAAAAATAAAAACTCAAGTGCCAGAGCCTGGGACCAGCAGATGGCATAAACGTTACATCTCTGGACTCACATATGGCTGACTGCGGTTTGAGTCCTAGACCTGGAGGCTTCAAACTCACACCAGGCACGTTTGTAGGTGCCTAAAATCCTGGAAGAATGGAGAAGGGGTGTGGCCATGCGGTGATTTCTCATTTTCCTTCTCTTTCTCTCTTTCTCTCTGTCTCTCTGGTGAGCAGAAGTGCTCTATGGCTGAAAAAAAAAAAAAAAAAAAAATCGCTCTTAAAAAAAAGTGGAGAGCCCTATAAAAAATATGTCCATACGACTCATGCTGCTTTGAATAATGAAGAGGTGGCACATAGGAAAATGGCCAGGGCCCAGAAGCAGGAGGGGGTCAGACACAGCTGGACCCACACGTACCTTGTTGGAGATGTCCAAGTTGCAGCTGGCTTCACAGAGGGCCACCACGATAGGCACATTGCCATCTTTGCAGGCCACGTGGAGAGGGGTGTTGCCATGCCTGTCTTGGAAATCGATGAAGCAGCCCTGGCCGATGAGGGTCTTGATGACCTCCATCTGACAGCGTCTTACAGCCAGGTGAAGAGCGATGTGTCCATCCTGGAAACAGACCCAGAGCCCATGAGAGCTTTGCACTTAGGCAGGCGGCCCCAGTCTTGCCACCTCGCCTGTCATCACTGGGTTTGGTTTAATTGGCAACAGAGTCACTACTTGCAAAGCTGAAAGGAGGATTAAACAGATTACAAACTGGGGGTTGTGGGGCGGGGGGGAAGGCTTTATATTCTTGACTCTGAATAATCACAGCTTAAACTGTCCTTTAGCTCGAGGAACTGAGGTCTGGGCTACACAATCGGAAAGAATCTACGCTTCTTTCTGTCTCTGAATTTATAGGACACAACTAATTGTTGGTACCCCAAGGTCCTGTTTAGTTCAAGTATTTGAAAAACACCTTTAAAAACATTTGCCTAGCAACCCTTACTAACGGAAGCCTGTTGTTTTATTTTAAACCAGAAAATACTGAGAAAGCGACAAGCCACGTGTACTAATTTGCTCAAAGGCCGTCATAGATATGAGGAGCCGATAGAACGTGTCTAACCTATGCGCCTCACAAACATCCACCTGGCAGGCGGCCCTGGTCTTGCCACCTCGCCTGTCATCACTGGGTTTGGTTTAATTGGCAACAGAGTCACTACTTGCAAAGCTGAAAGGAGGATTAAACAGATTACAAACTGGGGGTTGTGGGGCGGGGGGGAAGGCTTTATATTCTTGACTCTGAATAATCACAGCTTAAACTGTCCTTTAGCTCGAGGAACTGAGGTCTGGGCTACACAATCGGAAAGAATCTACGCTTCTTTCTGTCTCTGAATTTATAGGACACAACTAATTGTTGGTACCCCAAGGTCCTGTTTAGTTCAAGTATTTGAAAAACACCTTTAAAAACATTTGCCTAGCAACCCTTACTAACGGAAGCCTGTTGTTTTATTTTAAACCAGAAAATACTGAGAAAGCGACAAGCCACGTGTACTAATTTGCTCAAAGGCCGTCATAGATATGAGGAGCCGATAGAACGTGTCTAACCTATGTGCCTCACAAACATCCACCTCGGGGGTTCACTTCACCTGCTGGAGAACCCCTGGGGGGTAGACGTATTAAGTTTAAGGGCTGGGTAGGGAGTTCTGAATTTTTCACAATTTTATTTTAGGTTTCTGCTGTCAGGTGTATGTGCTTGCCAGAGAAGAGAGGGAGAGAGAGAGAAAATGAGAAATTACTCCACCCCTCCAAGGAGGATGGCCACACCGCAATCCCTTCTCCTTCAATTTTCGTCTTGAGATTTAGGGCACATACACACAGGCACCTAGTGTGACTTTCAAGCTGCCAGGTCTGGGACTTGATCCATGGTTGGCCATGTGAAATCCAGTGCCTTAACCACACGCCATCTGCTGGCCCCCCAAGTTCTGAAATATTTCTATAACTTACTGTTACTAAGGCTTCCCGACCTCAGTACTGTTGGCACTTGGGCAGGAAATTCTGTTGTGGGGACTGTCCTCTGACAGTGGGATGTTCAGCGGACCTCTGGTCTTGACCTGCTCAATGCCAGGAGCATCGTCCACCCCAGATGGTGAGACCAAACAATGTCTCCAAACACTGTCAAATGTCTGCAGGGGACAAAGTCACCCTGCTTGAGAACTATTGCTCGGTACCAGGAAAATCCTTCAGAAATGGCAGTTACTACATTAACCACAGCATTTGAAAAAAATCTATATGTAGCAATATCGCAGCTTCATTTGGAAGTACAAGTTTACAATACAAACAGGCTATGCTGAATGTGCTTAGTAAGATAGGGGAACATCTTGTCTAGAATGGAGATCGCCAGACAGATAAGAGTGCCTTATTGTCTATAAAACAGCAGGTGATGGAAATACATAAACCACCTAGTTCTTTGTTTATCTAAAAGGTGCGCTGTCCACTTTAACCCTGAGGATTGTTTTAGATTCAGCACTCATCACTGCATTTGCTCCAGAGCTTAAAAAGCTAAAAATAGGGACCAGTAGTTAGCATAATGGCTATGTCGCTGGACTCCCACGTGGTCGACCGTGGTTTGCATCCTGGACCTGGTGGCTTAAAAAACTCACGCCGGGCGCGTGTGCATGAATGCCCAAGATTCTCCTCTGAGAGGAGAATGGAGGAGAAGGGATTGTGGCGTGGCCATCCCCCCTGGGGGGGTGACTTCTCGCTTTCTGTCTCTCTGTCTCTCCCTCTGTCTGTCTGGCAAGCTCATGCGCCCTATAGCAAAAAAACCTCTCAAAAAACAAAACAAAACAAAACAAAAACAAAAAATCTTAAAAATAAAAGAGAGACAAAGTTGTTTAATCAATCCGTACATTTTGTTCCATGCCACAAATGAATATTAACCACTAAATGGACCCTAGACAATCTCACCGACTCTCTGGAACAGAGACGAGGAAGGACAATGACACTTTGCCGCATTCGAGTTTGTTATCTTAGGAAATGAGAGTGAGGCCCAGCCCACCAGTCAGCACCTTGTCCGAGGCGTTAAGATCAGCTCCGTGTTCAGCCAGACACTCCACGATGTCGTGGTAGCCCCTGGCGGAGGCCGTCAACAGGGGCGTCTCTCCTTCTCGGTTCTTGATGTTCACGTTACAGCCGGCTTCACACAGGACCTTGGCCACAGAGTAATAGCCGTGCCAGGCAGCACAGTGTAGGGGGGTTTCTTCTTCCTGGACAAAGGGACACACACACAGAGGCGAACACAGTGATGTGCGAGAAAGGCCAGGCCTTCTACAAGGTGAAGGGCCTCGTCGGATCTGGTAGCAAAGCCAAATCAAGCAGCAGAGGGCAAGGGCTCATAGAGACGGGAGTGAAACACCGATCCGAAGTAAGGACGGGGTACGAGCCACCACCATTCGGAGCTCTGTCATCTCTCTCTTCCTCACAACCGAGTGATGGACAGATTCGGCTTTCTCAGCATATTACCAACAACTGACTTTCGGGAACCATCAGCTCAGCTTTTTTGAACAATAGAGCTTTCGTGTGGGTAGATTTACAGCCTCTCTCTCGCAAAAAAAGAGCATCTGGTTATTTCACCTGACACTATTAATAGGTAAGCACTTCTCTGAGCAAGAATTCTTCTAAAAATCTTGATGGCTCAAGATTTCTGTCATGCATGTAAGCTGAAGATGAATTACGATGGTGGTGTTGCTTTGGCAAAGAAGTAACCAAGACAACCGTGCGTGAACTAGAGGAGGCGAGGGCAGGCCTGGAGGTCTGTGAGGACTGTGAGGCCCACTTCTTCGTGATCCGTATCACTACACACATACGTCTGGCTAAGAGGCTGCTGGAACCTAGCAGTGACAAATACGAACTCTGAAACCAGACTGGGATGGAGACCCAGCTCCACCACTATGAGCCATGGGAGCTTGGCCGAGCTTACAGACACTTTCTCTACTTCTGTCTCGTCTGTGAGATGAGACTGATAACAATAGTAACCGACCTCACAGGGCTGTCCAGGGGATTACATAAATGGAGGAGGTGGTTAAAGCTGTTCCTGGCAATGCCACCGACTCCATGTCAGAGGGTGCTTCTGTTCGCGTCCCTGCCCTCCGTGAGAGCAGACACCGAGCTTGGGTAGAAGCTCCGAGGACGGCCTGTGTTGTCTGGCTGCTCGCGTAGCCATGCAGAAAGTGGAGGGAGGGAGGGAGGATGTCCGCTGCCATCACCCACCTTGTCCTGGAAATTGGGATTAGAGCCCAAGCTGCACAGTAGCTGAACCACGTCGGCGTGGCCATAGCGCGCGGCCACATGCAGGGCTGTCTCTCCGGACTGCAAAAGAAACGAAGCCAATGATTCGCTCCCTTCTGTGAGCGGACTGTGGGCACCAGAAAGCGAGGCCCACTGCTGAGCCTGCCCAGCTCCACACTCTCCCCTTTGCTGTCAGATGCCCCCCAGGCCAGATGCCCCATTGGAGACTGGGTCAGGAACCTGGGGAGGCGGACTGCCATGCAGTGGTGTTAAACTCACGCCTGGCTCATCCTGTGAGTAATAAAACCCTTCAGTGCAAACAACCCCACGAGAAGACTTTCCCTTCTCTATGATGCTATTTTTTTTTTTAAGAATTATTGGGAACCAGCAGTTAGCGTAATGGCTATGTCGCTGGACTCCCACGTAGTCGACCGTGGTTCGCGTCTCGGACCCGGTGGCTTAAAACTCACGCCGGGCGCGTGTGCGTGTGTGCCCAAGATCCCAAGAGGAGAATGGAGGAGAAGGGATTGTGGCGTGGCCATCCCCCCTGGGGGGTGATTTCTCACTTTCTGTCTCTATGTCTCTCTCTGTCTGTCTGGCGAGTGCACGCGCCCTACAGAGAAAACCTCTATAAAAAAAAAGAAAAAAAAAAGAATTATTTTAAATTTAACTTTATTCATTTACTTGTTTTAATTTGACCACAGAGGGACAGAGAGAAAGTGAGTGAGAGAGAGAGAGAGAGAGAGAAGTGAGAGACAGAGAAAGTGAGAAAGTGCCAGGTCTGGGACTTGAACCATGGTTGGCCATGTGGGAGTCCAGTGCCCTTAACCACCATGCCACCTGCTGGCCCCAGTGATGCCAATTCTTTATTTTTTTTGAACCGCAGTCTACTACATGGGAGTCCAGCGACATAGCCATTACGCTAACTGCTGGTCCCCAGTGATGCCTATTCTTAATCATCTTTATATGTTGATGTTTCTAGCTGTATGTGTGTGTGAGTGTGTGTGTTTTAGAACACAAAACTCCTTTTTTAATGTTAGGTTCACCCTATAGCAGCTATTTAAATACACAGTTATACAGTTCTATTTATTAACAAGTTTCTCTTTTCATGGCCTTACTATATTTAAAAATTTCTCTTTTCTTTCATTTCTTAATATTAAAAAATATATTTTTATTTGCCAGAGGGTGTGTGCACTTGCCAGAGAGAAGAGGGAAGTGCCCTCCTATGGGGTATGGTCATATTGTAATTTGTTTTCCTCCATTTCTCCGTCCTGTCGGGACTTGGGGCAGCCATGAACACGTATCTGGTGTGTTTCTCATGTTGCTGAGTCTAGGACTTGAACCACAGGGTTGGCCATGTGGAATCTGGCTGCTTTAACCACCAGGCCATCAAGCTGGCCCAGCAACTTATGTCTTACATTCACAGAGATTTGAAAGAACAGCAACATTTTCCCATTCAATAACTTCGAATAAATTATTAACGAGTCCAACTTGCTTAAGATACTTTAATTTTATCTGACTCCATCGTCCCAAATGGTCAGAATAAAGTAATTTTTTTTGAGAGAGATTTTTGCTATAGGGTTCATGTGCTCACCAGAGAGACAGAGATAGAAAGCTAGAAATCACCCCCAGGGGAAATGGCCATGCCACAATCCCTTCTCCTCCACTGTCCTCTTGGGCATGCACGCACACGCGCCCGGCGTGAGTTTTAAGCCACCGGGTCCGGGACACGAACCACGGTCGACTACGTGGGAGTCCAGCGACATAGCCATTACACTGCTGGTCCCAGAATAAAGTAATTAAAAAAAGACAGCACAAGTTATTTAATTGCCACCTGCCAGAAAACTGCCCTAATAATAATATGACCTTGGACAGGAACATCAGCCCTTAGACACAGAGCAGTGCACAACCTACAGAACTATGGTGGCAGGGGACCAGCAGTTAGCATAATGGCTATGTCGCTGGACTCCCATGTAGTCAACCCCAATTCAAGTCCTGGACCCGGTGACTTAAACTCACACTGGGCACGTGTGCGTGTGTGCCCAGGATCCCGAGAGGAGAATGGAGGAGATGGGACTGTGGTGTGGCCATCTCCCGTGGGGGATGATTTCTTGCTTTCTTAGAAATCTGTCTCTGTCTTTCTGGCAAGCGCACGTGCCCTATAGGAAAACAAACAAACAAAAACAAACCACCTCTCAAAAAAAAAGAACTACGGGTGGCAGCCCTGACTTGACAAAGTGGTCGACAAGAACTGGATGCAAAAAAGTGCTGGACACTAATATATGAATGGATGAGAAAGCAGATGTCCTAGTTTCCGGTTTGGGGACTACTCGATGAATTCCCAGGGTCGTCGTGTGGACTGAGTACTAAACGCACGTGGGAAAGTAAAGTATCCGGCCAATCAACACCTTGCATGCTATGTTTGTCCCAAGAAAGCCTTACTTTACGTGCATGACCTCATTATCTTTTAGCATGGGTGACTATCCATGTCAGTGACTCTAGATAAAAAAGAACGGAATGGTCGAGATGTGCTTAAAAGCACGAGGTGACACAGTAAGTGAATCCGGCCCCGAGGCTCTTTCTCGCTGTCTTTCTACTTAGAGTTTTCACATAATGGGGAAGACAGCTCTCTGCTGGCATATGATGGCAACGTAAAATCCTGGCAGATTTTAGCTACAGTAGATCTCAGTATTAGACTGAACCACAGGCAAAAAGAAACTTCCAAGTTAAATTCTCTGCAGGAAGGTTTTGGTCCTGAACCCTTACTTGTTGGGTTCAGATGCACAGGCCTTCTAGCACTCAGATGCATTCTTCTTTTACTGTATCCCGTTCCCCCAGAAGAGAAGTAACCCTGGGACCGGCAGTTGGCGTAATGGCTATGTCACTGGACTCCCACGTAGTCGACCGTGGTTCAAGTCCTGCACCTGGTGGCTTAAAACTCACGCCGGGCGCGTGTGCGTGCATGCCCAAGATCCCGAGAAGAGAATGGAGGAGAAGGGATTGCGGCGTGGCCATTACCCCCAGGGGATGATTTCTCGCTTCTGTTTGTCTCTCTCTGTCTTTCTGGCGAGCGCACGAGCCCTATAGCAAAAGCCTCTAAAAAAAGAAAAAGAAAAAAAAAAAGAAAGAAGAAGAGAAGTGACCTTACCTTGTCTTTAACATCCAAAGGACACTTGTTCTCACTAAGGAACTTCAGGGTCTCTACGTGGCCATGCCGAGAGGCCCAGTAGATGGCGTTGGATCCACCCTGCACAAAACCAACGTAGAGTCAGGGCTCTAGAGAGCAGATGGGTTGGGACACACGCACCCCCACCCGCGAGTCATGGTGTTCTCTTTCTTTTGTGACAACACACCTCAAAAGAACAATTTCCAAGAGGGGAAAAAATCCTTATTTGGTTTTATGCTTTTGACAAATGTATCATAGTAATTTAAGACGGTACCATTAGAAGCAGCTGAGTGAAGGGCATGAGGGATTGACTCTGTCACATCTTTTCAGTGTCTGCACATGTCTAAAATTAGTTACTTCAGATTAAAAACTTGTTCTTCTTTTTAAAGAATTAACTTTATGATTATGTTCCAGTTTGCACAGTGAGAGACACAGAGAGAGAGATGGAAAGTGAGAAAGCAAGCCATCAGATCCAGGACTTGAACTGCAGTCAGCTATGTGGGGGGTCCACTGCCTTTAACCACCACACTATCTGCCAGCCCAGAAACTTGTTCTTTTTAAAAACTTTTTTTTGGGGGACCAGCAGATGGCGTAATGGTTATGTCACTGGACTCTCATGTGGTCGACCGTGGTTTGAGTCTCAGATCCGGTGGCTTAAACTCACACCGGGTGCACGTGCATGCATGCCCAGAATCCTGAGAGGAGAGTGAAGGAGAAGGGATTCTGGCGTGGCCATCCCGGGTGATTTTTTACTTTCTGTCTCTCTGTCTCTGTCTTTCTGGTGAGCACACACACCCTATGACAAAAAACCTCTTCAAACAAAACAATACAAAACAAAACAAAACAAAAACTATTTTTTTAAAATTGCCGGAGGGCACATATGTGCTCGCTAGAGAGAAAGAGAAAGAGAAAGAAAGAGATTCTGCACTTCGTTTAGGTTTCTTCTCAGTGCTTTACTAGCTTTGGGTGTTTTGGTTTTGTTTTGTTTTTCACTTTTGTTAGAGAGTGTGTTCACTTGCCAGAGAGAAAGTGAGAAAGCATGCCCTATGGGAGATGGTCATGATGTGATCCTTTCTCTTCCATTTCTGCTTTCAGGACTTTGGGGCATACACACACACACACACACACACACACCTGCCTTGTTTTTCTTTTCTTTTCTTTTTTTTTTGGTGAGATTTTTTGCTAGAGGGTGTGTGCAATAACTGGAGAGACACAGAGATGGAAAATGAGAAATAGCCCCCGGGGGGATGGCCACGCCGCAATCCCCTCTCCTCCACTCTCCTCTCAGGATTTTGGACATGCAGGCACACAGTGCTGGTGTGTGTCAAGTCACCCGTTCTGGGACTTGAACTGCGGTTGACTACGTGAGAGTCCAGTACCTTAACCACTACGTCACCTGCTGGTCCATGCCTGCCTTATTTTTCAAGCTGCCAGGGCTGGGATTTAAACTGTGGCCAGTCATGTAGGATCTGGTTCCCTTAACTAACAGGCTACCAGGCCAGTCCTCTTTTTTTAAACTTTCATTTCAACCTCTGTTAGAATTCCTTGTCCTGTAAAGGCTGATCTAGTCCATTTACAGCTGTGCTGGAGTCTAGGGAGCTGAGAGCAGGCACACTGTAATGACGATCAGCTATTACTCCATTGTGTCCACACTCCTCACGTGAGTTACTTGTTAAAGGAGTAGGCTCCAGTCTTCTCAGCCCCTGGGACTGGTTTTGTGGAAGAGAATTTTTCCACAGACCGGGGGTGGGAGGGTGGTTTGGGGATGATTCAAGCCTTCCTTGCCCACTGCCCACCTGCTGTGTGGCCCGGTTTCTGTGACCAGAGGTTAGGGACCCCTGTCTTGATGTGTATCATCCTACCCCACAGGCCTGATAAACATGCAGGAAAACACCTTTCTGATGTGAGTAATTAGGCAGTGGACCCTTTTTCAAATGTGACATCAAACACGGCCGGGTAAATGTGACCAGTAAGGAGTGAAATCTGGGGCAGAGTAAGAGGAAACGTGCTATCGAGCCATGGAGCACAGGGGAGGATGGAGGTCTGCCTTTTCCTAACACACGGGTCAGAGCACACCGGGCTGCTTAAGCAGTTAAGTCTTCCTCCACAGGAAACTGAGGAACCGATTAGGACATACTTTTTTTCCCTCTCACGATTAAGAGGCATTTGAAAGGACTTAAAAAGGAATTCATTTGTGACAAAAGTGAATCAGGACCTTATCCTGGATGTCGATTCTTGAGCCTCTTTTAATGAGCAACTGCAGTATTTGAATATTCCCACAGCCAGCGGCAATGAGTAACGGAGGAGTCCCATGCTGGAATAAACAGGAATAAAAAAAGAAAGAAAGAAAACAAAATCAAAACCTATTTTTCAAGTTTGAGAGGAAAGGAAAAACTCAGGATGTTATCATGGTTCCCACACCTTCCCGCGTCGCCACAAACACAGGGCCGCTGTGTATGGGAGTGGGTGACAGAGGGGAGTGGGTGACATAAGCAGCAGCCCTTCCCCTGCAGATGCACAACAAAGGGAGTCATTTGCATTTGCAAGATACTGTGGTTTGAATGTGTCCTCCCAAAAAAATCATGAGCTGGAATTTGGTTGCAAGTGTAATTGTATTAAAGGTGGAAATTAAACACCACTCTGGGGTTAAGAGGTGGGGCCTTTTGGGTGGTGGTTAGAATTATATAAGGCCATCAGGGTGGGGCCCCATGACGGAATGCCAATGACTTTATAAGAAAAGGAGAGACCAGAGCTGACACATATGCTCTTGTCACCAACAAGGGCCCTTTCCAGATACTGCACAATCTTGGGCCTCCAAAGTCATGAGCTGAGTTAAATTTTATTAAGGTTTTTAAAACCTTATAAATCACCCAGACTGTGGTATTCAGTTTTAGCAAGAGAAAAATGGACAAACACACAGGATGAGTAGATGTAAAATTTCTCGCGGAGAGGTGCAACAGGCAAAGGCATTTACAAACTCCAGCGCCAAAGGCATTTTACAAACTCCAATCACTCTTTCAACAAAAGTGATTCCCCCCATGAACATCAGCAGTCATTGGGACCCACTGCTCTGTGACCCCTGGCAGAGGAGGATCAGACCTTGTTGGGTTGGTTAACGTCGTAATTGGACAAAGAGCCCAGAAGGTGCTGCAGGCCTGGGACATTGTCATCGTTGATGGCATGGATGATGGCTTTCATCACGAAAGAGTCTTCCTCATCCTTGAGAGAGAAGACAGAAGGAGTCAGCCTGCTGGCCGTAATCTTATCCACGTAATGGAAACCAGGCCTTACTTGTTAAAAGGGCATTCGGAGGAAAGTAAGGCATTTAATCCCCAAATCCACGTGGTTATTCAAGCCCCTTCCGCGTTGTAAACAAACGCCATGTACTATTGACCTGAGGCTTAGTGTCCTCTGAATTAGAACCCCCAGAGTAAACAGATGCCAAACAATGACAAACATAACCCTTTTGTGTTTATTTTAGGAGTCTGCCAAACTATGGTCTCAGAAATCACTATGGAAAATTTCACGTGTAACACAGGCTCTCTTCCTGGATAAGGACAAAGATAAACCATAGAACCGAGGAAATAATATCTTTGAAGAAGATAGTCTCAGTTTGCATGGACTCTTAGAGAGAGAAAGAGAGAGAGAGAGAGAGAGAGAGATTGAAAATGAGCAATCACCTTTGAGCAGGGAGTGGGGTGGCCATACCACAATCCCTTCTCCATTCTCCTCTTTGGATTTTGGGCATGTACACCCATGCGCCCAGTGTGATTTTCAAGCCACTGGGTCTGGGAATCGAACCATGAAGTAAGCTATGTAAATCCAGCTACTCTAACCTCCACACCACCTGCTGGGCCCCTCTATGATTATTTTTAACCTCTCCTATCTCATTTTACTCTCCAGGGCTAGGCCTGGAGCTTCAGTGAAGCTACTAGCTTCAGGAAAAAACAGAAAGGGAGAGCTGGTGATCCCTGCCCTTGGAGTCCCCGATTCCACCCCGGAAATGCTGACTACAGTTACAGGAGCAGGGTAGTTCCCACAGAACTATCCTGTCTGCCTTTTCTGGAGTCCCCTTTACCTCTTGAGTTAACAAAGCCCTGTTGTGTGACTGTCAGGGGACTGTCCTGTTGAATTCACATGCACCCAATCATATCTGAAGAGCTAATCTGTGATTAGGTTTCAGTTTGGATTAAGGGAAGAAAACTGTAGAGTTGTTCTCAAGGACCCTGAACAGTCAATAAATCAAGTGGGTTTAGCTTTCTGGTCTACCACAAGGCACAACAGCCAGCAATACCGCATTTCCTCTGATGTTCTGGCAAATGTGAGGAATGAAGGGGGTGTTATCTGCCCTTTGTACCACTCAGACCCAAGTTTCTCCCATGCCAGCGACAAGAGAGGGCTCTCGTTAGTTCATGCAAATTAGAATAAGCTCTTGCTTGCCTCTTCTACTGTCTAGCCTCTCTCTCTCTCTCTTTAAATTTTACTTATTTCTTGTATGAGAGGGAGAGATCAAGAAAGATAAGCGCCCTCAACCATGGTCCCCTTCCATACCTCCCACCCAGCCAGGCTCATGGGCACACACACATGCCTGGCATGCACTGGCCAACCTAGAGACTAAACCTGTGACTCTGCCTTTGGATCCAGCTTTCCTTGAGCAGTGCATTGCCACTGTGCCACTGCATGGTGCCTCTCTTCTACCAGACATATGCCAGAGAGAGAATGCATCAGCCGCGGCAGTGGGGATAGCACCAACCAAATCCAAGAGGGAAAAAGGGAGAAAGAAACAAGGAGGTCCATCAAATCAGCGACCCCAACCTCATCGCTCAAAAGGAGTAACAGCAGACTTGACATGCCCATGATGTCTGGGTGGTGGAACAAACAGAACTGAAGCATCCTAAATACAAAGCGCTAAGAAAGAAGTTCGCCGAGGCAAACAGGTTTGCTTACCAGAGTATCATCGCTTCTGGCGACACTCATGTTACTTCTGGACAAGAACGACCTGGATAATCTTTGGCACAGTGATATCAGGCGAACGGATTGCTTTTAAAAAACAAAAGGAAGAGAAGAGACGGGGAGAGGAGGAGAGAGAGCTTACACAACAATACTCAAATCAGCGCAAGTGACAATGTCTTGGAGATAGTGTTCATTGCAGCGAGCACGCATTCCCCAGGGTGGGCGATCCCGTGAGTGGGCTGGAGTGTACTGGCTGACAGAACAACCTCAAATCAATTGTAAGTCAAGACAATGGGATAGAGAGAGACTCTCCTTTTGCATTGTATTATTAAACTCCAGAACTAGGTGCTCCGCATCCCCCTTCTCTCTGTATTTTGTCCTTTACTCTGAGGAATGTGATCTTATCTTGGGAACCCCTTCAGGTCCCGCCTTGGGGAGTGACAGCACGCAGAGGCTTGCTCTGTGTCCTGTGAGCTCACATAGGTAGTACTGGTAGATGATACAATGATCAAGCCCACAGAGTGTAGGAATGAACAGGTGGGGAACCCCTCAGCCTAGAGGACATCTCTGCATTTGCTCTCTAAGGCAGAAACAACAGGTAAAAACGTGCCCAAGAGAGAGGCAGAGGAACTTAGGGTGCATCTCTTTTTAAGCCTCATCATAAGGACTGCCGGAGAATCCAGTGCAGTGATCCTCCTTATCCCTACTGCAACACCCCAAGGGGAGTGGGTGTAAGAATGAGGCACATCAGGACTAGCAGTTGGCATAATGGCCATGTCGCTGGACTCCTATGTAGTCGACTGAGGTTCAAGTCCTGAACCCGGTGGCTTAGACTCACACTGGGCGCGTGTGCATGCGTGCCCAGGATCCTGAGAGGAGAATGGAGGAGAAGGGATTACGGCGCGGCCATTCCCCAAGGGGGTGATTTCTTGCTTTCTGTCTCTCTCTGTCTGTCTGGCGAGCGCACATGCCCTATGGCAAAAACCTCTACCAAAAAAAAAAAAAAAAAAAGAATGAGGCACATCTCTGGCCCAGTGCAGGGGACATGTGACAGGCATCTGTTTTCTTTGGGTTTGATGTGATCCTGGGCACAGGAAGCCAATCAATCACCTTCTTAACCCTGAATTTTGTTGTTTGGAATGTCCTTTAGACATGTCCCACCCAGCCCGGGGAAGGTCATCCACAGAAGAGGCCACGCTGCCAATGCTCTCTGCCTGCCCTAGCCCTGGTCCCAGCCACTCACACTCCCAGGCTGGATCGAGAGACCCATTAGCACGGGTTCCAGTACACCTTCGGCTCTCTACTAATCACCATGAATATTGATTTATTTAAAGGTAGCAGCTTATATTTAGAAAATAAAATTTCACTATAATTTTATTACACTGGCTGAAAAACCTGCCTTGGGAGTGGTGTGGATTAAAAAAAAAAAACCGCAAAATTACATTTTAAAACATGAGTAAAATAGGACTTGAATACTGTTTTAATGTGAAGGCTACGGAGTGAGTTTTTCAAAAAAATGGATACATCAGCCTTCCCTAGCCATGGGTCCTGACAACCAAGGATCAAAAAAGTATTTGGAAAGAAAATAAAAAACCAAAAAACAACTATCCATAAAATGGTAATGTTAACACCAATTAAAAGAACCATAGTTTAGCAACGACTTAGATAACATTTACATTGTGTTAGGTATTAGAAATAATCTGGACATAATGCAGAGTATACAGGATGATGTGCAGAAGTAACATGCAAATACTATGTCATTTTATAGACGGGATGGGACATCCACTTGGACATCCGGGAACCAATCCCCCAAGGATATCCATATTGCAAGTATAGGAAGGGGTGAGCCCTGCCCAGAAAGAGATCCACAGAGGAAATGGGTTTTGTTAATCCCGCCTTAACTGCAACCTTACTTTCCATTTTTTCCGGGCTGCGAACTTCTTGAATTTCTCCATGTTCACTGCCGACGCTTTTCTACTAAGCGCTTGTTGCGTATCTTTAGGCTAAAATGAAAGTTCAAGGAAAAAGGTTTTGAGGTCTCAAAAGGATAGAAATGTGTCCTATGACCACTTTGGAAACAGCCTATCCCTTGGGATCCCTACATGTTCACCTCACTAAAACAGCCTAGCTAGTGGGATGATGGGCACGACCTATGAGCCTCGTCTCAGTAGGTTCTTAAGAGCTGCGTTCTGGCTGAGGAGTGGTTATAACCATAAAGCCTAGAGGCGACACTGAATTTGAAGCCTAACTGAAGCACAACTTTTCCTTTTTTTTTTAATTTTTCAATTATTATCATAATCTTGTTTATAGTACGTTGAGTCACATATAACTTTACAGAGTATTACATTTCTTTTTCCAGAGCGAATATCATTCATATCAGTCAATACAGAGACATTAAAATCCCCATTACATCATCCAATAGCTTTTCATTTTTTCCCCAGATGATTATTATTATTCCAATGATTTCTTTAAACATTCAATCACTATGAAGCACAACTTTCATATGATAGTTTGGGGATGGCAAGCCATGGGGGGTCATGGTATGAGGCATCTGAACTGGAATATCATCAAATAACTAAGCTGGGGGGACCCCAGAGCTTGGCAAGCATGACCCGTCCTACACCATTAGAATCCCTTGTGCACACCTGTCAGGAGGCCATCTAGCTACTGGGCTCTGCCTCTGAGAGGAGGAGACACCTGCCTTCCAGAAGAGCCCAGGCAGCTACTGGGAGCTCACACAGACTGGGTCCTCCAGCTGTCCCCACCCAGTCCTGTAACACCCACTTACTGGTTCCACGATTTCATTCTGTAACTATCATACTCCCTACTCTTAGTCCTTTCTGTCTTAGGCTGAAGCACCTTTAACCCAAATGCTAACAGAGTCAGAGAAAGTAACAGAAAGGTGTAACCTGCCAGGTCAACCTCGTGTCCTAGCCCCAAGGCAGCTGTACTGTGTCCCATGGCCATGCCAAACGAGGCCTCAGTGCTGGTAGCTCTTCACATTTTTCAAGAGAAGCTGGGAATCCACATTTGATGTGCTATTTCTATGCTAGCAGTTAATTTGAATACAAAAAAATACTGTTTGCGCCAACCCCAGAGGGCAGACCAAACATGGCTGTGGAATGGGTTCTACCTCTTACAGTCCCGTTCTGTGAGAGTTCATTCCTCTCCTTCCACCTTGGTGATCACTAGGGTCCATTCTATCAGTTTGAAAATATGGCAGCAACGATAAACACAACGTGCCACACGAAACCTGAGGTTAGAACTCAGTCACTAGTGATACCTAGGCCATGCAGTCCAGGATGCCCGGACACATTTACCCAGAATGTAACCTGTATCTTACCTTGATCCAGGGGTGCTGCAAGCTATCTTGAATTGTCATTCTCTTCCTTTGGGAGATGGGGGAAGGGAAGGAAAAAAAAAAACAGAAATGCTGTGACCGTAATGGCAAACATGAAGCCTGTTTCCATGCTAGCTGGGCCTACCAAACAGACACTGGAAAATGCAGTTGGGGCTCAGCTCCATGGAAGAAAGCTGAAAACAGCAGTGGTCTTTTGGCGATTATTTCTTTATGCCTCATAGGGACTGAATAAGTGGGTGCAAAGGCCCTGAGTGAATTTTTTTTTCCCTTTTTTTTTTCTTTTGCCAGAGGGCACAAATGCCCACCTAAGAGAGACGGTAAGAGAGGGAGAGAGAGAAAGCACCCCCAAATGGATGCAGTCATATCGCATGCAATCCCTTCTCTTCCCCGTCTTCATCCTGTTGGGATCTGGGGCACACGTACACATTACATCTGGTGTGTAAGACACAGGGGCCGGCACTGGAACCACACACTCAGCCATGTGGGATGCAGTTCCCTTAACCACCAGGCCACGGGGCAGCCCCAGAGTACATTTTCTGAAGTGTTTCATATGTCATGGTTCCCTCCACAAGTGGAAACCCAGGGTCTAAGCAACATGGTTGCACACACAGATCGAGGGCTGGCCCGGGTGAGCTGAGGCCTTGCCGAGCCTTTTTGGTAACAGTGGACACTCACTTTGGATCCTTGACCAGAAGTCTTCTTATGAAATCTTTGGCTAGGGCACTGGTATTACTGAAGTATTCTTCCTCAAATTCATAGTTGACAGCAGACACGTTTGCTAATGTTTCTTGCTTAGTATCTCCAAGAAATGGGGAGGCCCCACTTAGGCTGTTAATAAAGTGGGGGCACAAAACATTAACGATGACCTCTTTTGTTATCAGTCTGTTCCTGTAATATCTGATTAGGGGAGTGCCGAATAAGATTATCGTGGGGTGTCTGGGCAGCCACTTCAGAACTCAATCCCATTTCATAGGGCATGTAGCTGTCATGAACAAAAGCTTCAGCTTAATGCAAAGGAATCATTAAAAAAGTTCATTTAAAACAGCATCAGCTAGTTTTTTTCCTTTTTCTTTTTTTTTTTTTTTTAATAAAAACCTTTTCACTGTTCTCCCAGCAGTGATGGGTAGCCATGCCTCCTCTCAGTGACTACACTAGTTTCTGATGACTCATTCGGGATTAGGAGAAAGTGTCGAATTAAGATAAACTACACACGTTTTGGGGGGTGTAAAAGAATGTGTTTATATAAAAGGCATGCGCATAAGCTGAAAGGATCAACATGGCACAATTACTGGTCAATTTAAACATATGGTCTGGAAGAAAAGGAAAGAATACGAGTTGTGGATTTTCGTACTTACAGAATATAAGTTATTACCCCGATACTCCTAGACACAAAAACAAAAGAAGAAAACACATCAGAAAATGGTCAAATAAGCCAGGAAGATAACACCACCAAGGGCACGATCCTTACCACATATCCGCCTCCAGACCAAGAGGTTCGTAGTTGACTATCTCGGGAGCTAAGAAGAAACAAACAGCCACTTAGCTTGGGAAGAAAGCACCCCATAGATTCTGTCTTCAGGTTACAACCAGACGCGCATACCGGGGAAGCGATCTTACGGCAGAGGGGATTCTGTCGACATACCCTATATGGGACATTGATGGTCACAGGTGCAAGGCAACTTACCCACAAACTCTGGAGTCCCGAATATGTTTTTGAATTCATTTCCAAAGTCAATTTTATGGGCCAGCCCAAAGTCAATGATCTTGATCCGAGGTTTGGGGACATTTCTATCCAAAAGCATGATGTTCTCAGGCTTGAAAGAGAGAGAGAGAAATGATGTGTGTGTGTGTGTGTGTGTGTGTGTGTGTGTGATGCTAAGAACAAGATGGTAGAATAGTTCTTCCCTTCCCCAGGGGGAAAAAAGGAAGGAAAAAGGGGCAGTTGAAAGAGAATGCCAGGAAAAATAGATGTCTTAGTTCAGGTTCTCCAGAAGCAGGCCTGAGACAAGGATTTGGGCACAAGTGGTTTATGTGGAGGGGACACCAAGAGACACTTGGTAGGCACAGGGAAATAGGAAACAGAAGGAAGCTGGTGTGAAGTATCTTATTAAGGTGCGGGTGACTGGAGCACAATGCTTCTAGGGAACGTGGGGGAAAACAGTAGAGCTCAAGAGTTATCCCATCCTCCACTGCACGGAGTTGGTCCCCCGGGCGCTTTTTCTGTGGCATTTCCAACTCCCAGGGCCAGACACAAGATGTCAGGCAGAGTTACAGGTGTCTGCGACGAGCCACCTTTGGGGTGCGTACTATTGAGTGTTGGGGGATATGGATCGGGCCTTGACATTTCTCCTGCAGTGAGTATGGAGAAAATCCTCCCCTTCTGAGGTCCTGCCCTAGCTACAATACTCTGAATCATTCGCTTGGCACTGAAGCACACACGGCTTCTCCCCCTCTCTTCACGTGGCCTTGAACTGGAACCTGAACCTAACACGGTCACTTTCCATTGCTCCTGTGGATGTCCCCTTTTCCGAAAGAGACCACATCTTTGTGATGTGTGGGGGCCTGACATTCATGCCTTTTCCTCTCCCATCATGCCTTGCCCCCAGCCAAGCACAGAACTCAGCCACTCTGAGTTCGGTTGGCTTGGTAACCAGCAGCAGATCAGGCCCACGAGACTGGGCATCCAGCGGAGAACAGAGAACAAGACACTTTCCATCTCAGCATGACCGAAGCGATAGGAAGGTCGGAGCTATACCACTCCAAGCTGAAAAGTCCCCAGCAACCCGGAGCAAACCCCTTGCTTAAGACCTGCTGGATGAGACCTCTCGTTCTTATTTTTTAGAGAGATTTTTGCTGTAGGGCGTGTACACTCGCTGGACAGACAGAGAGACAGAAAGTGAGAAATCACCCCTGGGGGGATGGCCACGCTGCAATCCCTTCTCCTCCATTCTCCTCTTGGGACTTTGGGCACACGTGGACATGTGCCTGGCGTGAGTCTCAAGCCACCGGGTCCAGGACTCGAACTGCAGTCTACTACATGGGAGTCCAGCAGCATAACCATTATGCCATCTACTGGCCCCAAGACCCTTGATTCTTCTCCAAAGACTCCAGAATATAATCATCCATCTTAAGCCCCTATCTTATAAAAAGGTTAGGTATTCTGGTGGTAGGCATATATTATACGCTTGCTGATTTATATTGATAATTTTGCTTGTGAAACCCATATAAGAAAAAAAAATTTATCTCTTGTGTTCTCAATTTTCCTTAGCAGACAACCAACCGAGGTGGTGGCGTGTGTGAACTTCAATCTCGCGGACACTCGGCAACATACCTTAAGATCAAAGTGGGCAATCTGAAGGGAGTGCAGGTAGTAAACACCATTCAGAATTTGTTTGAGAAATTCAGTTGCTTCTTCTTCGGTCAAAGATTCCTTTTCGGCTAAGAAGTCAAACAGCTCGCCACCTGCCACACTGAGAAGCCAGAAGCAGAGGTTATTAAAGACAGCTCGGTTTCATATTGATTTGTTCTCTCATCGATGATTGGCAGGCTCAAACTTCAGACAAGAAAGGAGCAGAAGGACGTGCCCAAACTGCCAAGTCTGAGTCAGGTTCTCTGTGCATTCCGTGAAAAGTCTGCGTTCAAGTACATCTGCACTTGGACACACTCGGGTATGGTTTTCCTAATGTGCTGCTCGCAAATGAGGGGAGGGACTAGAGACCAGATGTAGGGGAACAAAAATCTTATCTCTAAAACGTCTCCATTAAACATATTTAGAGGGGCCAGCCAGTAACATGATGCTTGAGGCACTGGATCCCACATGGCCAACTGTGTGGTTCGAGTCCTGGATGTGCTGGATGTGCTCACACACGTGCTCAGGGTGTGTGGGCATGCATCCCCAAATTCCTGAGAGGAGACTGGAGGAGAAAGGAACGTGGTGTAGCTAGTCCCCCTGAAGGCGAGTTCTCTCCCACTTTGGCAAGCACAAACACCCTATATCAAAAACTAAAAACCAAAAATCAAACATATTTAGAGGTAAAGTCAACTCACTACTGGGAAAAGAAATTATAAGCCACCTTTGTACAGGATTAATTAGACTGTATTTTCCTACTTTAATTAGAAAGAACCTGGAAAGTTCATAATCTGTGTTAGTCAATTTTTTTAACCCCCAAGTACAATACAAATATGAGCTTTTTTTCTCTTTTTAATTATTTGTTTATATTAAAATACTTATACTTTTTAAAAGTTATTTTAACTTTGCTATAGTGCATGTGTGCTCATTGGAGAGAGAGACACAGAAATAGAGAGAAAGTGAGAAATCACCTCTCTGCCCCCGGGGTGGGGGTTGGTCATACCACAAGCCCTTCTCCACTCTCCTTTCAGGATTTTGGGCATGCACACACATGTGCCTGGTGTGATTTTTAAGCTACCTGGTTGGACACTCGAACAGTGGAGCTGGCCATGTGGGATCCCACCGCCTTAACCTCCAAACAACCTGCTGGCCCCAATAAATACTTACACATTTATAAAAGTCATGTTTAGTAATGAGTTTAACAATAAGAATAAACTTACACAAAATTGAAATGTATAGGGTTGGGTGAGGGACTTACTTAATTTATCTCCTGAGTCCTGGGCCAGACTATAACTCCCTGGAGGGCAGCAGTAAGCCCCACCCCCAACCCTGTCGCCACACACACACGTGCACGGGCACACACACACGCAGAGCTGCTCTGTATCCACTGCCCAGCTCAGTGCCTGGCACAGAGCAAGCCATCAAAACTTATTCATCGAGTCGAAGTAAGAACAAACTCCCCAAAGAACTCCACGGTGGTGATTAATTGCAAATAACAGGGAACTTTTAATAAGAGTTTTTATAAGTTAATCGTTATCAAGTTTAACCATACATTCACAACATAATAATTAAGTGTAATTATGTACATAAATGCTGCTTTCATTATCTTTTTTTTGGCAAGACAGCTCCATAAACATGATACCTACGGCAACTACATCCATTCAGTGTACAAAAACTATGTCTGAGATTAAACGACAATGACAGAGATGCTGTTTCTTTAAGGCAAAGGTTCAGGTCCCACCCTTTCACCCTCCAAGCCTGGACCTCTGACATCAGAACTGCTCAGTCTTAGAAATGCAGATCCGGGCCTCCTTGGGACCTGCTGCATGAGGGTTTCCAGAGTGGGGCCCAGGAAACAGCATTTTTCAGAAAGATCCCAGGTGGCTCTGTACACATTAAAAACGGAGAACTTTCCAAGTTTTAAGTCCATGCTCCTGGCTGGCACTGACGGATTCGACTCTCCCACTCCGGAAGTTCCCCAGGGGCTCACGGTCCACAGACCTCCCTCGAGGCACACCACAGAGCCTGGGCCCAGCCAGGAAGCCAAGAGTCCCCATGGGTGGTAGAGGCTGGCAGTGGGTACAGAAGGACCCCGCCCCACAGAGGCCGTCCTTTCCTCTGGACTCCTCCCTGCACCCCAGCCTCGCTCTGGGAGACTCCCTGCACACCATCCTCTACCACGTTCCGCCTCACAACTCAACAACGTGAGGCTTCATCAGTCCTCTTCCTTCTGTGCTTCCTGGCTGTCCCCTCAATCAACTAGACCAATTTAGGCATCGCAGGCCGCATGTTGTGGTAGGGCCAGAGTTAAAAAAAATCAAGGTTCAATTTTTTTTTTCTTTTCACGTTTTTCCTTTTTAATTTCTTCCATGAGCAAGTGAGACAGACAAAGAGACGGCACCCCTCTTTTCCTGGGAGCTTGACACCATGACACCCCCCAGCCAGCACGGATCGTGGACACAGACATGACTGGTGTATTCAGGGAGGTCTCCAGACGTGAGTGGGAACCCGCCCCAGGGTCAGCCTCATAGAGCATCATGTTTTACTGTTGCACCGATGTCCAGTCGTGGGTTTAGAGCTTCATTCTGCCACGCACTAGCCCTGACTGGGCTGTTACCCCTATCTCTGAGCCTCATTTTCCCATCCAAGAGACATCATCATTCTGCAAAGGTTATGAAGATGAAAGACAAGAGCTACACAGAGCGCACCAGCACGTCGGGCATGAGGCTGATGCCGAGGAGGAAACCAGTTGATTAGAAAGAAGGAGACCATTCTCCCAGTAGGACGCAGCGCTGCATTCCCCAGGGCAAGCTGTAACGTAAGTGCCCTCTCCCACCCTCTCCTTCTCAAACTGGCCCAGTGGTCGGCTCTAACCACTATGCTTCCCAAAGAGGATTAGGAAGAGCAGGATTCTCCAGTCAATATGGTGTTTGGCCCTTCCTCTCTGTGCTCTCTGTCCTGACACTGGCTGCTTGTGCTTTTATCTACAGTCACGTGCCGAATGATGGCACATTTCGGTCAACGATGGACAGCACATAGGACACTGGTCCCGTAAAGAGCAAGGGGCTGTTCCAGGTGGCCTCGGTGTGTAGCAGGCTATAGCACCTAGGTCTGTGTAAAAGTACTCTATGATGGTACCAGCAGTTGGCGCAATGGCTATGTCACTGGACTCCCATGTAGTTGACAGTGGTTCAAGTCCTGGACCCGTTGGCTTAAACTCATGCCGGACGTGTGTGCGTGCGTGAGTGCCCAAAATCCCAAGAGGAGAATGGAGGAGGAGGGAATGCGGTGTGGCCATCCCCCCGGGGGGTGATTTCTCACTTTCTGTCTCTCTGTCTCTCTCTGTCCTTCTGATATAGCACACGTGCCCTATAGCAAAAAAACTCTCCAAAAAATGAAACAAAACAAAAATAAAAAATAAAATTGTGATGCTCCCACAATGACAAGATTGCAGAACGATGTACTTTCAGAATGCACTCCATCATGCAGGATTGTATACTGATACTTTTCCTGACTAGGAGAAATAGCTAGAGCGCTGGCTGCCTAGAGCTGGAGCAGTCTGTCCGCACACAAAGAGCTGGATACAAGCTGGCCTCCACGTCTGTTAGGAACTCTGCGGCCCGACCTTTCTGCATGCCCCGGCCTGCTCCAGATGCCCCAGGTCTTGGGCTTTGCACATACAACTCCTCCTTCATAGGCTAGCTTTCCTCCCTCACTGCTAACCTAGTCTTTAAGGAAAAAAAAAAGATTTATTTATCATTATTATTATTTTTAAATTTGCTACAGGGCATGTGTGCTTATCAGAGAGAGAGAGAGAGACAGAGAGACAGAGAGAGTGAAAGTGAGAAAATAAGTCTCCAGGTCTGGGACTCAAACCATAGTCAGCCATGTGGGAGTCTAGCCCCTTAACCCCCATGCCATCTGCAAGTCCCATCTAACCTACTTTTTCTGCAGATCAGGGACCTGATTCTCTTGCCAGCTCCAGCCTCTGTGAGGAAGGATGGCAAAGAGAAGGAGACCCCAATGCAAATCCTGCTGGGGTTCCGAATCGCTGAGCCTTGGACTTCTCCTGTGTAAAATAAGGAGTAAGCAGTCACACCTCGTAAAGTCATTATCGAACGCATAATGGCCTGTGGTGCTCAAGAAATGCTGCGCCTTTCTCCCAGGTGGCTCTCAACTCAAAGGCCTCCCGCGGGAGCAGGGGCATGCTGGTGCACGTGACGACAGGCTCTGTGGGGTCGGGCAGGGCGAGCCCAGTCCCAACGTGCCATAATCCCACTGCGGGCGTTTCAAGATAACCTGTGTGATACCAGTGACTATGGAAGGTCGTGCAAAAGTAGCTCCGTATCCTGGGCGAGCTGGCCCTGGCACAGTGCTGCCCAGCTCCCTGGCCCACTGCGGTGTTTACTATTGTCCAAAGATGGTACTGCGGTGTCTCGTCCACATGCTCCTCTGCAAGGTGCTTCCTCGAGAGGTGGCGTCCATGGCTCCAGCCCTTGAACTCAAACAGGCCCTGTGACAGCTTCGACCAGTAGGTAGAAGGAAGGCTGGAGCAACCCCCATGTGTTCCTTCGTGGGCCCTACGGCCTCCACATCCAGCCTCCCACGAGATTATCCCACGGCCACCGTGTCACACGGAGAAATTCTGGGAGAAGCCAAGGAGCACTGAGCAAGGAAGGCATCGGGCAGTGAGCTCTCGTGCTCAGCCAGGTCCACAGAGCTTGCAGACTGCCCATGTGAGTCCTTTGGGACTTCTGACCCACAAAACCATCAACGAAGTGCAACCATCGCTTTAGGCCACAATGAGGGATGCCACCGACACTGCCCAGGTTCCCCTTTGGTGAAGGACACACTGTCCCTACTCCTGGTGGTGTCTCAGCAGACGGCCCTAAGCCCTCACCCCCTCAAGGGTCACCTTTGCTGCAGAGAGCAACTAGGCTCAGGGGCTCTCCCTTCCCAGGAAACCCTCAGCCACGGGGACATACAGCAGGGGCCAGCAAACTTCTCTAAAGGGACAGGTATTAACTTTTTTTTGGAGAGGTTTTTGCTATAAGGGCACATATGCTGGCCAGAAAGACAGAGGGAGACAGTCAGAAGGAGAGAAATCACCCCCCACGGGGG